TAAGATCTTTACCTCTATTCTAATTTATAGTCAATCTCATAAATCTATCAACTTCGATGTATTCTTGCATTTCCGTCTTTTCGTCTTTGATCAAATCCCCAATGAACACATAGTAAAAGACTAAAAGCATTAAAATCACATCTAAAAAACATGGTCCCACCTAAAGTTGCCCCGTCTCTCTTAAGATCCTAACCTAGACAAACTAGGGTTAACTTATGAACAACTCATTAAGAAGTGGGTCCAGCCCAAAGATATAAAAGGTTGAAGCTCATTTCTTTAACTATTAAACAGGTATAAACAAACTCATAGTCTAATAAAGCCCAAGCTACTCATAGATAGCTTGATTCTTGGAAGCCTACTCATATAAGGAATGAAACATCACATAGCTTGCTTCATCTTCGAGCATTGATGAAGAAAATTTGGAAAGTTTAAAATGAATTTAACACCCAAAGATATAGCCACAATTGGTAAATGTAGCCAAATGTGAAACATATTTATAAGATACTTTTCATCCGTTAAGATTTTTTTTGTAGCTACGAATTTGGAACATTCGAAGGCTTATATGACAAAATTTCAAGATTTCAAGAACATAGCTTAGATGCTGATACACAAAAGCCCCTAACTTTCACAAAATTACCAAACCAACCCCAACATCTCAAAATACCAAAATTTAAAGACAAAATCCATAGAGAGGAGTAGGATATCCCTACCTCGAAGTTTAAGCCACAAAGGAGATGAAGACTTGAAGATCAACTTGCTCCAAATCTAAACTTTTTCAGATTAAAACAAAGCTCTCAATGCCCTCTATCTTTTTAACAAAGGCTCTAGGCTAGATTCACACTCTAGGGAGATCAAATCTTAGAGAGAGTGCAAGTGTAGAGAGAGAGGGTCTCGAATCTAGGTTTTAGAAGAAAAAGAAAGTGAAAAAGTTAAGTTCAAAAACGCTACTGTCCACTGATATAAAACAGGCTCGCTCGAGCGAAGACTTGGTCGCTCGAGCGACCAGACACACGAAAACCTCGCTCGAGCGAAGAAAAGCTCGCTCGAGCCAAGAATGCAATGCTTCAGGTCTGCAACCCTGGAGCACGCTCGAGCGACAGAATGCTCGCTCGAGCAAGGAATTCGAAAACATACACCTCGCTTGCTCGAGCGAAGAAAATCTCGCTCGAGCGAAGAAGCACTGCCCTCAGGTCTATACCAGACGCAGTCGCTCGCTCGAGCGAAGCAAATCTGGATCGAGCCAGAGGACACAAAAACAAACCTCGCTCGAGCGACCAAAACCTGGCTCGAGCGACCAACCCAAAAACTGGACAGCAACACTTGGTTTACGAACCCAACCAACCTGAAACAAACCTGCCCAACACATCCTATAACTCCAAATGAGAAAATAAAGGACGACAACAACAAATATACAATGACAGAATAAACGGAACCCAAGTCCGGATACAATAATCAAATGGGAAAAGACCGGGGTCGCTATAGCTTATATCATCTTTCTTTTATCATTGGATCCCAAGCTATGTTATGCATTTCATGTGTCTAAGCGATAAACATATGTGTCCCCCAAATGTATAAAGCGTGTCTAAGTCTAAAAAACTAATAGAACACATTTGGACATGTGTTGGACAAATGTCAAAAAGTATCCAACGAGTGTTTGACATGGACACAATTATTTCTTTGAAGTGCCAATACTTCTTAGCTAGTCCATTTTCCCTTAGGCTTGGCATATGAGAATTGTTTTAAGATCAACTTTAAAATTGAACTTTGTGATCCTGATGCAATGGAAGGAAAGAAATTGTTTTGAGTTTTGGGAAAAAATGATGTGTTAGAGCATCTCCAACTGGCTTGGAAGCTCTTTTAGCCATGTTAACTGGACTCCTTATTTCAGCTCTCAAACATGCTAGCCATTCCAACACTCCTTATTTCAAGTGGCTGTTCACTAGCTAAGCATAAATAAGTTTTGGGCAAATTTCACTTTATCCCCATGTGGTTTGGCCAATATGCGGATAATCCCCTTATCATTTCATAACAACCACATAACCGTTTGTAGTTTATGGACTAAAATGTACCGTTAACTTTTCCATCAAAGTTAACGTGTTTTGACAGCCATGCACCTATATAGAGAGTATACCATTTTTTAAGTTAAAAAAACCCTTACACCCTTTGAAATTTACAAAATATGTCATTTTTTTCTTCATTCTCTTTGTATTGTTTGTTTCTTTCATCTCTCTTCCTTCCGAGTTCTCCATTACCATTATGTCCTAATCTATAATGCCAAACAAAATTAATATGTGAATCAAGCATATAAGCAGAAATAGAAACATCTTTATTAAGACTAATAGAATACATATTGTCTTTAGCATAACCCTTCCCAACAAAGGATCCCTTCTTAGATATGATCACTTTTTGGGAATCAAATACAACTCTAAAACCATGATCATCAAGCCTCTTAACAAACACAAGACTCTTCCTAAGTCACGGAATGTGATACACATCTTGCAAAGTAAGGACTTTGTCGGAAGAGAGGAAGTTTCAACACTCTTTTGCCGAAGATAGCACTTTTAGAAGAATTTTCCATGAAGACGACTTTCTCTTTACTAACTTTACTATAGGAATGAAAAATATCCTTATAGGGAGTAACATGACAAGTTGCAGTGGAATCAATCCACCAACCATCATCCATGTTGACCATGTTGATTTCAGTAAGTTTGGCTATCATGTTTTCATTAGTGCTATCATGTTAGTCTCATTTTTGTGTCCCTTGCAGTGGCGGCAATCTTTAGCATAATGTCCCTTTTTACCACACACAAAACAAGAACCGAAACTTTTCTTTTTGACAAACTCCTTTTCAGTGAAGTTGCCTTTCTTCCTCTGAAAAGATTTTTTTCTTGTTAGTAAACTTGACAACATGTTTATTAGAGGTAGATGCCGGTTCTTCAACATTATAAACTTTTTCAGTCTTTCTCGAATTTTCAAGATTATCACGTCGTATTGCTTTACTTCGTATCTGAATGTGTTGAAGCAACTCATCCAAATTCAGAGACTTATTCTTGTATTTTATAATCCTTTGGTAATCTTTGCATGTAGATGGAAGTGTACCAATAATAGTTGAAACT